GGCCTCCAACCTGGTAGCGATGGCCTCCAACCTGGTAGCGATGGCCTACCATTGTCAACTTTAAGTTTTCATCTTTTGCTGTTTGACAAATCCATCCAGCCATCCAGCCACCCAAGGAATAGATGGAGAGCCATCCAGCCATCTGAGAAGGCCCCAAACACATCCGAGGGCAGGACAATGTTGGAACTTGGCCTGTCGGAATGAGCGTCTCACGAGAGCCTCTTAGTCACTTTCTAATAGCGTTCTTGTTCCTAATGGCGATGCCCTTTGCTCCTAGTAGCGTCCTTGTTCCTAGTAGAATGGCCAGGAGCCCCTAGTAGCTTCTTGTTACTACTAGTAAGGCACTTGTTACTAGAAGCGATGCCCTTTGCTCCTAGTAGCGTCCTTGCTCCTAGTATGGCCAGGAGCCCCGTTCGTAGCGTCCTTGTTCCGTTCGGTTGCTGCATTTTCTTTGCGTTTTCCAGTGAAGTCGGGGAGTCCGAAGCACGGAACCGCGCCTAGATGCGATGGCTCTCGGCAAATGACCTGCACTCTTGACGTTTCTTGAGAAAAGGGATGGTCCCTAGTAGCTTCTTGCCTTGCTCCTAGTGGAGATGCCCTTTGTTATTAGTAGCTTCTGGCTACTAATGCCCTTGGCCCTTGTTACTATAGTAGCTAGAGGGACAGGTCCGCAATCTAAGCTGCGTGCGCTCACAGAATTTGGCCACCTGCGGTGCAGGCGCAGTCAACTTCCACTTCGCGCATGCGGGTAGTTTCATTCAATTCTTGAACTTCTTACGCGATGCACGTTCACATAATTTTGTAAGAGCCGACGATTCTACTATCCCGGCAGGCCCCAAACAGGCTTGAGTGGAAGAAAACGGTATATAAACCTAATTCCCGCACTCCAGGTGACATACATGAGAGCACACATCTGTAAGCACACATATGTGAGCACGCATGTGAGAGCACACAACTGAGAGCACACATGTAAGAGCACACATATGCGACTATCCTGGAAGAAAAAACAAAAAGGATAGGGACAAAACAAAGGTAATTTGTTACTACTAGTAACAAGTGCCACGCTAGTAGTAAGAAGTGCCTTACTAGTAGTAACAAGAAGCTATTAATTTAGATTAAAGTCAAAAAAAGAAGGAAAGCACATGGACCTGAGAAAACGACAAGACTGGGAAGACTGCAGCGCTAGCCGGTCGGTCACTGCTGGACTCCCCACTCAATAAATCTCAAAAGGAAAAGGGACACGAAACAAAAAGACACATGAAAGGAAAGGAGATAATAAACGAGTTAGAAGGGGGAACTGTTTAGACCTAGAAATCCTCTGGCGCCATTTGTGACCATGTACCACGGCGCCTGAAAACCGCCATGGCCATCAAAGACTCCGAAAAGGCTCACGTTGGACCAGCCACCGTCAATCGTTCCCTCGGACCTGGAGACAAAGCGAAGAGCGATGCCCCTATGGCCAGGAGCCCCGGAACTCGTAGCTTCTTGTTACTACTAGTAAGGCACCTGTTACTACTAGCGTGG